ATAAATTAGATGGCAATAATAATTCATTATTATTTCCCCTCATCTCAAACCTTCTCTTTCTCATTTATTGCTTTTCTTAGTGAATGTTACCACTATACATATTGCCATCCAAGCCAGAAGCCTTAATTATTTCTATTCCTTCATCTGCATTCCAACTCTTCTTCCTTATTCTATCTCACCTCTTAGTCTAGTGTCAACATAGCAATGGGTCAGATCATGCCACTCCTCTGCTCAAAACCTTACCTAATTAATAAGCCAACCATATGGTATGTTAGAAGTATATATCCAATAGAAGGGTCAGGGTAGGCTTTATTGAGACGGTGATATCTGAGCAAAGACTTGAAGAAGATAAGGAATATAATCAAATGGACATTTAGGGGAAGAGCATTCCTGGCAAAAATTCTTTTAAAAAGGAGTATGCCTGGAGGTTTTGGAGAATGGCAAGGAAGCTAATATGGCTTCAGCAGGGTACCAGGAGGGGAGAGTGGTGGAAGATGAGGCCAGAAAGGAAACAGAGGTCTAATTAGTTTGCTACTCATTAAATTCATACTACAATGCCTCATTCTGCCTTCTCTATCTCCCATCCCCTCCCCACCATCCCCTCCCCACCCCACCCCCACATGCACACAAATTAAAAGACAAATGTTCTGGATTTCATTTCCAATAATCAAGGTCCTTATATCTCATATTTTTTTTTGAGGGGGTACTATTTCTAACACTTGAAAGGTTCATGAATCACTTCCAGTCACTCTTCTCCATCTGTCCACTTTAATGGACCAGGTCTGCATTCCGAAAGTTTTGGGTAGTACAAATTAAGGGATAGAGGCTATGAATTAATACCAAACCAGTAAGAGCATCAAACACCAAGATAAGAACATGGAGTCTAAATAACACAGTGAGGCCTCATCTCTACAAAAATTAAAATTAAAAAATTAGACAGATACAGTGGCATACACTATAATCTCAGCTACTCAGGAAGATAAAGTGGGAGAATCTCTTGAGCCCTGGAGTTGGAAGCTGCAGTGAGCCATGGTCGCACCACTACACTTCGGCCTGGGCAACAGAGCAAGACAAAAAAAAAAAAAAAAAAAGAAAAAGAAAAAGATATACTAAAGAAAGATACTGACTGACTGAATAAATAAGAGGATACAAGTATAAATAAGCTCTGGATTCCCAGCATTTGGAGCATTTTGGAGTTCTTGGAAGAGAAAATGGAGGATATTAAGAGAGATTAAGAGAGAAAGAAACAACTCAAGAGGAAGACCAGTAGTGAAGCAGAATATATTCCAGAGTGTGGGTCTGAAGCTGAAAAACATGTCACCATGCCTGTCTCATCCCCAGGGAATATATACTAAGCTGTAAAATTATATCCGATCCATTTTTGATTTTTTGAGATAATAGTAAAAAGGACTCATACCAAATCAGAATATAGAAGGAAGTTTCTATAGAAGGAAGTTGACCAGTTTCATATTATAGCTAACTTCCTTTGATTCCATTTACCCAAAATCACTACTATCAACCTTTTCTGACATACATACCCCTATTTTTTACATAGTTTCCTCATTTATACAGACTTGGCTACACAGAACTGTCAGAAATTACATGAAATAATTTCTGTGAGGAAAAAGGATAGAAAAGGCAATGAAGAAAAGATCTTCTGACCCAGGAGATGATTCAATAGGCACATTACTCTGCCTTCCAGACAGGCAGAAAAAAATGAGTGCATACAGATGGTACAGAAACTTCACTGTTTATCCTTGCTAGTTTTGTTTGTTTGTTGGTCCTAGGTGAAACATTCCATTCCTCAAGAACTGTCTCCAAAACTCCTCCTTTACCAAGACATGAATAGTTCGCTACTTGCTATTTCTAGGCAAAAGCAGATTTGAATTTAACTTTTGTCTCCTCCACTTAATAGCTAAGTGACTTGAAACAAGTTCTAGATTTCATCTGAGCCTATGTTTTCTCATCTGCAAAATGGAAATCTAACACCTAGATAACAGGGTTGCTGTGAGAATTAATGAAACGATGTACACCTGCACACAGAGCACTGTGTTTGACATAAAAAGAAATGTAATTTCCATTCTTATGCCAACACACAGAGAAAGGCATTCAAAAACCTAGAACATGGTCCATACCACAGAAAAGTTTTTCTCCTGAAATCTATCCTCTCCAAGGGGGAAAAATCCGCTAACCAAACTTATGATGGAGAAATCCTGTTACTGTGGAGCACACACTCTGAAAAAAATCATGAATCTGTTTTGAAAGTGATTTTTGTGATAATCTAGTCCAACTTTAAATAAGTAACTCTCAACAGGGAGTGAAGAGACCAAAATGTATATGTAATATACTTCTTATTTTCATGATACAAACCAGGAAATAAAGCCCAACAAAATTCTAGTTGTTGAGTACATTCAGAAAATAAAGTACTGAAAAGATTAATTTTTTCTTTAATAGTAAAAAACTATTCATATGATACTTGACAATAAATTCAGTTACTTCACAAAGAGCTCATTGCATTTTCAGTCAATGCAAATATTAAAAATTTCTCCCACACATCAAATCAAAATTTACCTCCCTTTTATGAGCAGCCAAAGGTCCCTTGTTCTGTTCCCTTTCCCTACCACCCCATACATGCCGACATTCACACATTCACCTTGATTGTTGCTCTCATGAAAGAGTTAGTGGTTCTAATGTCCCACACTTTTCAGTCCTTCTTTTCTCTCATATTCTCCTCTCCTAGAGAATCTTCCCAAAAACCAAATACAGAAGAGTAGCAAAGAGTGGTAAACTACAGCCTGTAGTTTATAGCTATCTTGTCAACCATTTTTGTGTAGCCTACAGGATAAAAAGGTGTTCTATATTTGTAAGTGGTTGAAAAGAATATATGACATGTGAAATACGAAATTCAAAGATCGGTATTAATAAATAAGTTATACTGAAACATAGCCATGCTCATTTGTTTACATGTCATCTATGGCTGCTTTTATGCTACAACAGCAGAGTTGAGTAGTTGCAGCAAAAACTATTTGTCCTGCAGAGATAATATTTAGTACTATCTGGCCCTGTACAAATAAAGTTTGCTGATCCCTGTCTTAGGAGAACACTGGCCCCAAGAGCACGTTCACCTGGAATAGTCCTCACTCACAACCCTCTCCTCCCTTCATGACAACACCTGGCTCCTGCAGGAAATCGGTCTTCACTCAGCAAATTACACCTCCCCTTCACTCCCACAGTCTCAGCCACACCTTTAAAAAGGTCATTGCTCTGATGAAGCATGAAAACCTAGCCCAATCAGACATCCAGAGGAAACATGGCTACAGAATGGATACTGACTCTGCAGCCCTCTGGGCAATTCTTAGAAGAAAACACATAGCCTAACAATAGTTGAATTTGGAATCAAGTAATTTATCACTTGCCAAGACTTGCTACCACACCTTCTCAAATCCTGATTACCATATTGCACAAGTTTTAAGTCCATGTAACTTCACACAGCTTCAATGAAATTTGTGTTACATGTTCACAATGGATGAAATGCAGAGCAAGGTCCTCAGAAATAAGCAGAAAGCCACTCACTGATTCTCGATGCTAAGATTCAGTTTATATTCAGGTAAAATCATGTCCTCTGAGGCAAAGATGGCAAGAGAGAGGGCAGACCCTGTCCTACTGTGAAAAGGCAGAAGCTGACCAATATAGAGGACTATACTCTTGATCCTTGTTTCTCTTTCAATTTAATTCAAACTGGCATTTATTGGAGAGCTTTATGTGAAACAAGCAGTATACTAGGTCTCCAAGTGACATAAGGATATATAATGTCCATTCCTTATTCTCAAGGAGCTCATAGTCTAGAAATGATATAAGCCCACAGATGAGAGAGAGAGAAAGAGAGAGAGAGAGAGAGACAGTGTGTGTGTGTGTGTGTGTGTGTGTGTGTGTGTGTGTAAGTCAAGGATATACAACAAATAACTACTTTAGTTATTTTGGGTTAGTGGCTTTAAAGGTATTTTGATTCCATCTTATTTGCTTATCAATATTTTCTAATTTTTATATTAAACAATAATTGTATAGTAAAACAAGTTTAAAAGATTACAATATAGTATGATTGATACAATAATAAATATAAACAAGGTATACAATTACAAGTCTTTCTTGAGTAATTAAAGAAAAATTTCCCATGAAAAGCCTAAGATGGATTTTGAAGAATAATTAGTTCACTAGGCAGATAATGAGGAAAGATATTCTAAGAAAAAATATGAAATAACATGATATATTGAGGAAGTTTGAAGTATTAATAATTACTGGTGGAACACAAAGAGAAATATGGAGGGGAGAAATGGACCTGGAAAAAAGCCACAGCCCAGATCATGAAGAACCATGGGTAACATGCTAATAAGCATGCATTTCTTCCTAAGGCTATAGGTTGTTTGAAATGAAAGTTACATTGATGTATGGCCAATAAGGGGTCTGGTAAATTGAGGTAGTAAAGACATAAAAGGATGGCCTCTGGCACCATTATCCATTTCAAAAGGTAATAAAAATACCACAGATGACACTTTAGCTGGAATACCATTTAAGAAAATTAAGCTTAGAATGGGAGAGTTTGACTAGATAATCTTTACAGTCCTTTTAATCATCAATTTCCATGATTCTTTGGCATTTGGGCCATGATGTCCCTGCACACACTCCACTCAACTTTTATTAAAATACACACAATTTGTTGTCAACATACTGTGCTAGATAGTTTGATGAATACAAAAAGAGGCCTGTCTGCAAAGTGCCACTTTGGCAGGTGGGGCTGAGAGTAGCCCAGATTTGGGAATTGCTAATGCAATCTTAGGTGAACATGTAAGGAAGTGAGAAAGAAGGTAAACACTTGGGAGGTGGAGACAGAGGTGGAGATGGGCTTGTTTAGGAGTAAATTAGGACATCTCAAAGAGAGCATCTCCTCCCTAACATGGACCATTATTCCCTCTATAAAAAGGCCAGTCTGCCACACTAGCAGCACCCTGCAAGCTGCTTCTGTCTCCTACTTGTTCCTCTGGTGAGCTAGGTAAGTGAGCAGGAGTTCCACTCTGCTCAAGGGTACTTAGGGCTATAAATTAAGAAAGTCCAGGATGTGCTTTAAAGCAAAGAGGCACTAGATAACAAGGCTTCTTTTTAGTATACTCTGGGCAACTTTGGTATAAGTTTAAGTTTGCTGAAAAGGAAAATGAAAAAAATGACTAGGACTATGTACTTTATCTCCTTTCTTTGAGGTCATTTCCCTAATATCATGGATATCATAGGGTTCTAATTATCCACAGGCAGGTTGCCTTCTTTACTGCTGAGCTTTTTCTATTGTGTACCAAGGTGTGAGGGTCACTTCCTGCTTGAAGAATGAAAACAGAAGCTGAATCTAATAGTAGTTGCCTTTAGTTTCACATCATCTAGGCTTGTTGCTGGCTATGCTCACTTTGTCTACTTTCTCTGACCTAGGAGTCTTGAGAGTTCAGTTCAGCCACTGATGCTCCTTAGTTGGAGTCAGGCATGTCATGTAGTATGGACCTGCACCCACAGTATTATTGGAACCTAGAGAGAAAGAGGAAGCAGATGAAGTGGAACACTCAGGACTTTTAAAGCCACCAAACAAAGTTGATATTATCCCTGGTAATGGCAGGGAAACCAAAACAGAAAGTCATTTTTCCTATATTCATTCAGGAATGGAAATAAGACCCATGGATTACTTTCCTACTTTCATCACTGTCTTGCTACAAGGCTTGAACAAGTCATTCAACTCTGGATTAGTCCTTGATTACACCACAATGAATTTAAACATGCCTAATTCTGAACAATTATTATAAATACTTAGATCTAATTATGCGTTTAAACAAGAAATAAGAGTAGTAAGGGGTTGGTCCCTCTTTTTCCTCCCTTTAGGTTGCTCAAACTTGAAAAAAAAAATGCCTAAACTCCTGCAAGGCATCATCACTGTCATCGATGCTTTCTACCAATATGCCACTCAGCATGGGGAGTATGATATGTTGAACAAGGCAGAGCTGAAAGAACTTTTGGAAAATGAGTTTCATCAAATTCTGAAGGTAAGAACTCCATGCCAACATGGAATTATGCAGGACTTTTCTTCTTCATCCCTTTCCACCTTCTTGTCACTGATGTCAACATCCTAAAGGATTCTCCCAACTTGGTGATAGAGAACAGGGTTTGGTAAAGGTTTAAGATAAAATCAAGAGCTGATCCATTATGGTTTCCATAGCATAAATAAGGGAAGTGATCCTACTAAACAACAAACAAAACACACAGATTAAATAACATCCTATCTAAGTGACCAATTCTTACAAACACAGTCTGCCTCAGAAAAATTTTCCGATCTAAGTAAATGCCTAGATTTCCGATTTCAGGAAATTAGCATTTACCCCTGAATCACAAAAGAATATGTCCACCACCTTATAAATGTCAGCTCTAGAAATGAATATTTGGGAGTTTAGATCAGACTTTTGAGTTTCAATTCCTTAAATCCAACTGCTTGCTGAATATTTTTATTTGGATTTCTATGAATTTTAGGCATGATACTCAGATATCAGATATTCAGTGTGTCAGCGATGAATCTCATAATCTTCCCCTCAAACTTTATTCCTTCATTTTTTTGCCCAAGGCAAAACTCTGGTGTCATTTTTTTTTTTTCTCTCTCTCAGCAGATACCACTACCTTCCAACCTCCATCTAGCTCATCAATAATCTCTCAAAAGAGGCCATTTCTCTTCATCACTATTTTTAGTCCTCTGGCTCAGGCCACCTACTACTTCTAATCTCAGCATTAGATGCAAATATAATAATTTCACTACTCAGCTAAAAATCCTTCAACAGCTCCCAATTGCTCTTAAAGTACAAAATTCCTTAACTTGACTTAAAAGTCATAATCTGGTCCCTATTTATCTCTTTATCCACATTTCTTAACTCTTCAAACTCTAAATCTAGCAATCCTAGATTTCTTTAGTTCCTTAAATGCTCCAAGCTTTCTTTTACCTCCAGCCCTTTGTTCATATCATTCCCTCTGCCTAGAACAATCTTTCCCTTTCTCCTTATCTTCCTACTCCTTTGTTTGGCTAATTCTAATCCATCCTTAAAAAGGCCTCATTTACTCTCATTAAACTTTCTAAGACCTCCATTGGTTCCTCTCCGATGTACCCTGGTAGAAACCTTACCACAATAAATTATAATTTTGTTTATATATCTGACCAACTTAACTTGAAATTCCATCTTTTTCAGAAAGCAAACTTGTTTGTTGATTTATACTCGCATATAACATAATGCTAGGCAAATAGCATAATAAATCTTTGTTTAGTGAGTAATTACTTAGCTAATTAATTTAATTGGACAAATAAAGAAAATTTATATAATTAATATGGGTATAAAAAATTATTTATAAATTAGCTAATCATTCATATTTGACCCATTGTTTACCAAAAATAATCACTCCTCTTGTTCCCTTTCATCTTTCCATTGCATCATTTTCTACCTATTTCTCACCACATTACTCACTGCTTACTCCTTTTTCTCTTTCTGGTCAGTATACAGCAATCCAGACTAAAAGACTATGTAATAAGTTCCACATGAATAAGCCGAATATTTACATTTTCACATCTTCCCTTCAGTTGTTTAGCTAGTGTATGGCCTATACTAACAGAGCTACCCTTTGTACCTTGTTCTTATACAGAATCCAAATGATCCAGATACTGTGGAGCTCATCTTGAAAAGTCTGGATCGAGACCATAACAAGAAAGTGGATTTTACTGAGTATCTTCTGATGATATTCCAGCTGGTTCAGGCTCATAATAAAATCATTGGCAAAGATTACTACCAAGCTTCAGGGTCAAAGCTGAGAGAAAACAGGCACCAACACCAAGAGGAACAAGATGAAACAGAAGAAGAGGAGGACAAAGGGCAAGAAGCCTCTTCCAGTCATTCAAGTTGGAGTACAGGAGAGGACGATTCCTATTCCAGGAACTCCAGAAGAAGCAAGAAACATAGGCCTAAATCCATATGCAGAAGCCTGCATTACCAAAGAAACTTGTCTAGCCCTGGGCATGGGAAAATATCTGGAGAAAACATACACTCAACTTTAAACGATTTCAAAGGTAGTGAGAAAAGCAAAAATGGGTCTCATGAGAAAGAAAGGTCTAAAAGTGAAGAAAATGGTTATGTTCATTCAAGTAATTGCAAAAAAAGATCAAACTTAGCAACTTGGTCTGACACTTATGGACAAGAGCACACACACCCCTCAGAAGATCAGCCTTTCAGTTCTAAAGAAAACTGGTCTGATTCAAATGAATCCTTAAAAAAGAAACAACAGAAGAAGAAATCATATCATTATCCTAGTAAGCAGCACCATGAATTTACCTCAAAGACGTGGGAGGAAAAAGAACGTTGGTCAAATTCAAAAAATCCAACTGATTCAAGTTACAGAGAATATGAGTTAGGCTCAGGGCAAGCTTCTAGCTGTGGCTCATATGAGTCTGACACAGATCACTCTTCTGACATAGGTCAACATGACACTCACTCAGGACAGTTCTCTGGCTACAGAAAACAGGACTCGAGATTGTGTCAGTCCTCCAGCAATGGGCAACAAGGTTCTATATCAGGACAATCAACAAGCTGTGATAAATATGCAGCTAGCTCAGGTCAAACATCCAGTCACTATGAGCATAGCTACGACTCCAGTCACTCTTCTAAACATGGTGAACACACCTCGAGATGTGCTGATTCTGATACTAATGGTCGAATTGGGACTACTTACGAGAAGGCTTCCACCTACACCCAACATGGAAATGGACCCACTCATTCCTCAAGAACTTGCCCATATGAGACTGGCTCAGGCCACTCTTCTGCCTTCGGGCAACATGAGTCTAGCTCAGGACAGTCCTCTGGTTA